CATGACATGACATGAGTTGCAGAAAAGATCCACAATCGTCCAGAAACGTGTTAGGCAAGCGATGTTCTATTTAAACTTAGGTTTGCTTTTTTGTTGTTAAAGTAAACTTCGTCGATTCATTTTGCGTTTGTCCTTTGTATTTAACTCCATTTGGCAATTATCTCCAATTCCATTAGTCTTTTTGCTCAAATATTTCACACACTCATAGGTAATTAAATAACTTAGTCATAAAAAGACTCATAGTTATTATCTTTCTTGCTCACAGTTTTTACGTTGACCTGACAATCTATTAATTAGCTAAAGGTTTATAAGAAATTCGTTTGTCATATAGGGAAGAATGCGTTCTTGGAGAATTCCTTCAGCGCCAAAACTCGTCAGAAACATAGTTTTGGTGGGGCGTACGGGAAATGGAAAAAGCGCCACTGGAAACTCGATCATTGGAAGTGACGTGTTTCGATCAGAACCAAAAGCAACAGGCGTTACCAAGACATGTCTGGCAATTGAAATTGAGAGACCAGATGGATCGATCATGAACGTGATTGACACTCCTGGTATATATGTTTTGCTCTAAAACTTACGTCTTGTCAATAATTCTTTTATATATGTTAATTAATGCGGTTGAATAGTGGTTAGCTCATCAAACTCAGGGTTTAATATGGTTTGTCAATACAGGTCTGTTTGATTTATCGGAGTCTGCTGAATATATCAGTAAAGAAATCATCAAATGTCTGACTCTTGCGGAAGAAGGATTACATGCTGTTGTGTTGGTTCTATCTGTGAGAACTCGGATTACCCAAGAGGAAGAGAACACGCTTGGTACCTTGCAGGCTCTTTTTGGGAGTGAAATACTTGACTATTTGATCGTTCTATTCACCGGCGGTGATGTGTTGGAGGAGAGAAACCAAACACTGGACGATTATTTTCGTCAAGGTTGCCCCGAATTTCTAGAGGTCGGTGACTTTATAACGGTGTTTAAACTTTGGATTATTTGCAGTGGAGGGTTCTGCCTATATATTATATAGTCTGAATTTGGATTGTGCAATTTCAGACAGTTCTTAGTATGTGTGGGGGTAGAAAGGTCTTGTTTAATAATAAGAATGCAAATGCAAGCACAAAGGTCTCGCAAGTCCAGCAGTTTCTTGCCCATGTTTCATCCATTGAAGAACGCAACTATGGAAAGCCATTCACAAACAATATGCATCGTGAGATAAAGGTGAAAATGTAGTTGATACGAGGTTTTATTGAAAGTGAATTGGCTCATATTTCTTATATACTGTATACTCACATCATCCTCTATGATATATTTGTTGATGTTTGAATTGACGGTCTCTCAGGAAGAGACTAAAAGGGTAAGGGCACAGAGAAAGGCAGTTGACACTACGAAGCTTGGAGAAGCAGAGTTGGCAGAGATGCAGCAGCAGCTACTAATGTCGCATGAGCGTAGGATGAGCGAAATGGAAAGGATGGTAAATCTATTATACTTACTAACTACCAATCCAACAGCGTCAAGGGTTATTACTTCTTAACGAGATCTGACTTCCCTTTCAGGTGGCAAATAAGCTAAGAGAGACTTCTGCTGAACATGAGAGAATGGTTCAAATGCTGAATGATAATCTGGAGCGGGCACAGAGAGACAATGAATCTCTGCGAGATGAGCAAAAAAAGGAACAAAGGAGGCGGATGATGATGCAGGTTGGTCTCGCAGTACCTGGGGTAGTGGGACCGCTGTTAATGTGTAGCATCTTGTGATCGATGTATCCAATACAAGACCAAGTCAACGTCAATTCGTCCTGCACGTCGTCCAAAACTTTTATTTTATGTGTGCTTGCTGCTTCTTGTTCTGTTTCTATTTTCCCATTCCCTTGCAACCACACAAGTATAAAACTTGTCGTCATTGTTAGACGAACATATAATAATACCACTTCAAACCACAGATGATAAACACGATCGTGGGTCATCAAAACTGCACGTCTTGCTAATCTGAAGTCATGACCAGAAAGAAACCCACGGAATATATAAATCAACTCAAATTCGTCCAACTCCATAAGATGGAGATATTATGCGTCTTTAGTTCTACTTATAACAACCTGGTCTTTGATGATAAAACCATATATTGACATGAAAAATGAAAACCCTTATCAGACTTTAACGAAGCTTTGATATCTCAATCACAGATTGATGCACTTTCCCAGTTTTTTCTGGAGTTCCTTTGTCTCTTTCTCAGCCCTCTCCAGATTCTCTCTCAGCTTCTTAATCTCATCGCTCGAACGTTTCTGAACTTCGTTTGCCCTCTTCTCCGCTTCAAGTCTAGCGGCTTGCTCTTCACTCAGTTGCTGCTCAAGCCTCTTCGCAGTGTCTCTCAGCTTTGTCTCCACCTAGACACCAACAAGAAAACAGAAAGTTGATTACGATGAAATCGTGTCTATAAAAGAAAGAGGCTTCTGGTCTGCATTAACATAAATAGCTTTTAGCTGAAGACCATGTGGGTAAGAGTGATGCTCTAAACCCATTTTATGACATAAATGGCATCTATACTGATTCTTTGTACATATTGATCACTGAAAGCAAAACCACATCTTTTGTCTCAGCTAATTTTCTGTAAGGAGACTCCCAATTGAATGAACCGAACACCTTAAACCATTAACTAACCAATAAGACACCGGTTCTTTGTTTATACTTCCAATTTAGTACTCTTTGAAACTCTCAGCTAAACATACTACAGGTAGGTGCATATGAGTTTAGAACTTTCCTAACTTGAACCCTCTAGAAAGATCAGAAGTAAAAAAAAAGGTGTGTAATATAGATTGACAAATAAGAATTACCATCTCTGTGATGCGGCCAAGCTGCTGGTCATACGACGTCTCAATTTGCTTCTTGAACTCTGATATCTCAACATTTGAATATCCCCTCAGCGATTCAACCTCCTTTTTCTGGTCTCGTAGCTTCATAGCCTCTTCCTGAGATGCAATCATGATAAGCATTCTCTGCTTCAAAACAGATAAAGGTATAACTCAAAAAAAGGAAAGCAACAATTTCACCTGTAGCTCCTGGAACAACTCATCTGTATAAGGTCTTCCATTGTTCCTTTTAACAACAGAGTCAACAAGTGAGAGAAGCTTTCGAACTTGCTCAGCTTTCTTACGCTTATCCGTAGTCTTGTTATCAAACAATACCAACCGATTGTCACATAGCTCAAGAATTTCCTACAAGCCACAAAATTCAAATCTATACATAAGTAACCTGAAAATTCTAATTCAAAAATTTTAGGCAAAGACACTGACTTTCAGAAACTCAGGACACGCCTCAGCCAAATACTCCTCCAATGTCTCATCATTCTCTTCCAATTCATCGCCACCCGTAAAAACAATGATCATATAATCAGAGATTTTACTACCAAATAGTGTTTGCATAAAACAGAGAGCAGATTTCTCCTCTTCCGTAACCCGACCCCTTACAGAGAACACAAACAAAAGAGCATGAATCCCATCTTCAGCTAGGTTTATGCATCTCACAATCTCTTTACCGAGAAAATCGGTCGAGGTAGACAAATCAAATAGACCTGTTTAAAAAAAACTCACCACATTAACATCACATAAGCAGATCAAAGCTATAACACAACTGGACTCTCTTGAGGTGATAAGAACGTTAAAAAAACTTACCAGGAGTATCAACAACATTGATGATTTGACCATCTTCTTGCACAACTCTCTGTGACTCACATGTGCTTGTCACACCAAGAGTACTTCTTCTTGACTTGAACACCTTCCTTCCAAGGATACTGTTCCCTGTTGCGCTCTTTCCGTTCCCTGTACGACCGACCAAAACTAGGGTTCGGCTAGGGTTTGTAGATGAAGCAAATTCCCAATCATCGTCCATCAGATCTCCACCCATCTTCAACAAACTCATGTACTCTTTACCTGTAATCGGTTAAAGGGTCGACTTAAAATTCTGATCTTTGACAGATTAATCAGAAAAATCAAAGTAATAAACTCAAAGGCAAAGAGAACAATGACGATCGCACGAACTTTACACAACCAAACACTCAAGTTTTCGATAAGAATATTACTTGCTTGAGAGGAAGAAGTAAAACAACAAAAACAGAACAGAATCAGAAGAATCAAACCACAGAATCAATGGATCGGAACAACTGGGGAAAAAAATTAGGAAAGAGAAGATAGAAGAAGAAGATTACTTGCTTGGTTAAAGGAGGAAGAAGCTGAAACTGGGGAAAATCTCTTTTGTATTTATATGGAATCAGTAAAACCTGACTAGAACAAAGAAGTCTTCTGTGATAAAACTGGCAGTTATCATATGCGACGCGGATCATCTAAGGGAATTGATTATGTACCGTACGATGCGATAGTCTATTATCCTACGGCAATTACGAGGTATTGTTGGACCGAGAATAGCCCAAACAAAAAGCCCATTTCAGAATTACTATTCATGTAAGTATTGATCACTGATTACAACGTAGAGTTTGTTTATTTATTTTTTATAGGAGCCGGTAATTTGGGTCTAATTGATTACGACGTAGGAGTTTTTGTTTCAATCCGCATACACCACTTGGATTGGTTTTGAAATAATCGATACTAGTGTTAATCCCGTGCCTTGCACGGGTCGAGGAGTAAGAGACCAATATAATGAAACCAAATATATGTGATGAGAAGGATATAAAAAATCTTGATTTTTTTTGTTGGCATCTAAATAGATAAAATGATAAAGATCTTGATTAAAAATAGATTTTGTTTTTGCTAAAATTTTGATGCATTAATTCTTCTTCCCAAAAGTAAACCAATAGTAAAACCATGAAATTATTTAACTGTTAGAGAATCTAGTAGAAGCAATGATAAGTAACCTAGGCACATGTGACTGAAGCCCACGAAGAGGCCATTTAGGCAAAGATCCGAAGGAGAAAGCGATGACTCCGATGTTGCTCCGATGAAGACATGCAATCAAGGTAATTTCACAATCAGTTGCAACGAGATTTCTCCATGCAGAATTTGAGTAGGGACAACTGAAAACATTTGATCTCTACTTTCTGCGTTAGAGTTGCAAAGAGTGAAAATATGAGATTAATTATTGGTTGGTTCCGAAAATATGAGATTGATTGAAAAAACCCAAAGAGATTACCTTGTCAGGAGGTTGACGGAATCAGTATATTCATTGATGAAAAATTTGATTGTGAGTTTCTGACCTAGTAAGATCCGCAGAGAGATTCATTGAGAACATCAAGACGAATTTTCAGTTTTTTTTACCTGCAGAAAAAACAATGAGGGAAAAAAAATCTGTCAATGATTATAGTAGGAAATAAAGTTGTTTCGATGTCGAAGAATTGAGTGGAAATGATTTATGGAGAAGTCTAGAGTGGAAATCGTGGGGGGGGGGAGGGGGAGAATAAGCAGTTTAGGGGGAAGTTGAATCGATTTTTCTATCTTTTTCTCGAGTAATTAGATTTTTTTTTGTTTAACACTCAAAGTAAAGATTAGAAAAGTAAAATAGTAGAAATTGAGTCTTAAGCCACGTGGCAGAATGATAGAGTTACAGTTTTTAGGGAACTGACTTGTGTTTTATAGTAATACTAGATTCTCACCCGCACTATGTGCGGGAATATTCGTTGTATATGTTGTAAATTATATTTGGTTTTCGTATTATGTCGTATATAATATGTTCTAACTTTAGATATATATGTTTTTAGCTTGTAGATGGAATTGATTTGTTTGAAATAATATGATGGTTTTTGTTTCTAGGTTGTAGGTAAAAATGAAGTAGTTTGAAGTATTGTATATATTGAATAGTTATTAGTGGGAGTATAAATAGTTGACTATGCGGTTGATTGGTTCACCCGCTACCACCCTCAAACGCTGCGTTGTTGACATTTGACAACAATCACGGAAAATGCTTTATATCGCTCTGTATCGCTCCAAACCTCTAAAAACCAAAAGCTGCTTCCCTCCAAAGTTTGCGGTTGGGTAATTAAAAAAATAAAAATTGATTGTTTTATAAAAAATATTTAAAATCAAAACAAATATAAGAAAAATTAACAAAAAATTAATATTTGGATACTATAATTATGAAATATATCAACAATTTGTAATTTTCTAATTAATATTGAATAACTTATCATAATTTTATATTTATAAAATCTTCAAACA